TCAAATTTTCTAAAAATATGATGTTGGTTTTGAGAAAAAATTGAAATTTGATGGTGAAAACTGCAAAATAAGACTGCATTTCCTTGATTTTTCTCGTACTTAACTTGTAATTGACTGAACCAATGGGATATCGAGTTGGTTACTCAAAATATTGTACAGCTTTCCAAGAGCTATTTTTCTATACTAAAGACTAGTTGCATCCTCTCTTGTTAATGGCGAAAATGGGAAAATATGATCACTCAAGCATGGGCACTAGATATGGAATGCTTGAAAATAAATCATTTCTCCTTAGTCATATGGTATGAAACAATAGTTCATGTACCATTTTATTCAGTTTTTCAGTGGTTATTTTTCTATATCAAATAGAAGTTGCATCGTTGTTTGCATATGACGAAGAAAGCACTTAAAACATCCGTGATACCGCGTTTCAGGTTAATTTGTCTGTTGTAAAAATAATTTCTTCGTATTGAAATGATGTATAGGGATTGTTCATAGAGTATTTTATCCAGTCTTTCACTGGCTATCTTTTCATACCAAGATTTGTGAGAAAGCTATGTTGATTTTTCAAAAATGTTATTTTTTTCTAAGAACGACGTTCTCTGATGGAATCTCAAAACATCCGAGGTTAAAATCGTATTTTGAGCTTATTTTCCGTCAGAACAACTGGGCAATGTGTGAAAATGTCTATTCGAGAAAAGTGCAGTCAAAATAAGGCAAAAAAAAATGATGGGCCGTTTTCTAATCAAATACGCCCCCCTTCTTTCTGTTCAGAATAAGGTTGATATGTTTCCCAAAATATTTGGATCTGAAACGTTAGCTTCGCATGGATCCCATACGTGCAATATTAACCCATTCGTCGTTGTCGCAATAAATGAGTCTTAAAGATAGTTGTCCGTGTTTATGCTGGCTGTACGATTTGCGTTGAAATTGATAGTTTGAGCTTATTTTGAACATAAACGTTATTAACGCTTTATTAAACTTCAAGACTTTAGCTTGAATTTATCGAAGTTACTACGAGGGTCTGTAGGACGTAGTCGAAGAGATCTCAAAGGTTGTATCGAATGATTCAAGGCAAATTTTAAAAATCATCCTCAAGAATCTTTATGCGGTGAAAGGTTGAAAACAGCCACTAGTACCCATGGACATTCAGGACTTTTCAGAAAAAAATGCATAGCTTCGTGAAGTTTTTGTAGCCGAATACATTGGAGACTGCTAAATTGTCCGCCATCATCGGACCTACAAATCGATATATCATGAAGCACTTGATTATTCTTACCCTAAACTCTATAATGATTTTAAAACAATGGTATAGATATTGGTATTAGTATTGGTCAAGCTTTTCTCTCTTTACCATTTTCTCAAATTAATACTTATCAATTTGGCGCTCTTGCGTATCTGATTTTGTAGAGAAATGTCCGCTCTACAATCATGTCGTCATTGTCCTATTATAATACTAATTATGCTATCACCATTATTAATGACAACTAAATCTTGTGCCACAGTCACAATGTGACTCACCATTGAAAACATCGTTGGTACTCGGTGGTGATCCTGTTAGATAGTTTTCACAGGTTAAAAATGTACCATCACCCACACCCTGAAATATACTTACTGATGAACCACCGTTGTTTGCTGTTATCAGATCTTGAACATTATCCTGATTAACATCAACGACAATTAATTGTATTGGATCAGTGCCTCCGGTTGTATAGACACGTTGTGGTTGAAATGTACCACCAATATTTCCGATGAAAACACCGATTGTGCTACTGACAGTATTAATAACGGCCAGATCATTTCTAGTGTCTCCATTAAAATCTCCAGTGACAATGAAACGTGGCCCTGATCCTGTCGAATAGACAGTAGGTGGTGTTTGAAATGATCCATTCCCATATCCGAATAGAACACTAATTGTATTATTTCCATAATTTGCCACAGCCACATCTAACTGACCATCCTGATTGAATTCTGCAGCTGCCAGTGAAATTGGCAATGATCCACCGCTCGGAAACGATTGTGGCGTCGTCATAAATGTCCCGTATCCGAGATGGAGACAGATCGTATTTGTCGAAAAACTGGTTGTAATTAAATCTAATTTATTATCCCTGTTAAAATCTTGTGTAATCAATTGTTGTGGTACATAACAGGTCGCATATAGTTGTTGAGTTTTAAATGTGCCATTCCCATTTCCAATAAGGACACTAATTGTATGCGATTTTATTATCTTGATTGAAATCATCGGTGGAAACCGAGGATAGATAGTAGGATGTGGAAAACATCTGTTGGGATTTGAATGTCCTATTCCCGTTCCCAATGTAAATCTACACAGTATTGTTACCAACATTGGTAATAACAAGGCCAGTTTTATTGTCACCACTGAAATCATTGGTAGTCACCACTAGTAATCACCACCAGTTAATAGTTTTACAACGGGTAACCACATTTCCGGGGATTGTAGATTCCAATAAAATGGTAGAACAAGCATATGAGTACTATTCAACGTGTTATCGTAAACATGGTTTCGAATTTGGACCATCACGTTAAACTGAACATGAATACCTTGTGACTGAATCTGTTAGTCGTCTGTTCCAGAGACTTAACAAACTCTCATCATCACCTTTTCTACTTAAAATAATTGATTTCAAATCTGTTATCCGAAGTTTAAAGAGCAAAGGCTACCTAGTTTTTCATTTCGAAATAGCGAAAAAAGTCAAAGGATCTTGACAATAGAAAAATCCTTTCTGGGTGAAACATTTTGAATTTTCATTTTGTTTGACGACTGGGGCTTTTCAAACTAGTTTTTCTTATTTAGTGTTGAAAACTGAATAGAGAAATGGTATTAGCTTCATTTTGGTAGTAAACGCCTGTTCTTACTTTCTTTTTCACGAAGAACAGGCGTATAGTCTTTTTCACTCTTTTTTCTTCTATGAGCTAGTTGTCCTTTTTTCTTGCTGACTGTCTAGTGTTTCATGTCTAGTTAACTGAAACGTAATATTTCGAACGGATCTTCATCTGGATCTCCACCTACTACCAAGATGCCGAAAGGGAATGATGAATTACCAATGGCTATTACTCAATCGATCATGGACAGTCCTGAACTTCGCAAACAGCTGATTTCTCTTCTTCTTCCTCCGTCTACTGCTGTGACAGCAACAACAACGACAAATAGTCGTATGGACAGTGAAGAACAGAAAGAAAAAGAAAAAAATAACAAACTCGACGATCTCTTGATGGCACGAGCTAACGAAATTGGTAATTTACTTGCCTCTACAGTTGGAAAAATTCTATCTGAACGTGTCGATAAATTAGAAAATCGATTAGAAGCAGTAAAGAATGAACTCGAAGTTGCTCGTCGTTATTCGCGCTCATTCAATATACGTGTCTATGGTATTCCAGATTCTCCAAACGAAACTCCGGTTCAGACTCAACTTAACCCTTTACCCCCCCCTTGGTCACTGGAGTGACCATTTGTAGAACAATTGCAGAAACTAAAGGAAGCATCGGATTCAAAAACGATAAGAACCTTTTCTGTAGCAGACTTCATGGACTATCGCTTGGTAAAAAGAACGTTTCTCTTCATTGCTGCGTTACTGAAATATCGGGTTTAAAACATCAATAATTTTGAAAAAATGAAAAAAATCGAAAATTTTGGAACAAAATGTTTTCTACTTGTAGCCAACAGAGATTTTTTGGAATTGCTGTGTGATATTAGTTGATGAAGAAGCCCTCTGGGGAATTAAATATGTTTCGAAAGTTCCATAAGAACTTCGCGAATTACACATACAGAGGGATACAATTGACCATCTAGCGACTATGTGGCAGAAGCACGGTAATCAAGAACGGAGTTAATACATGTATATTAAAGCTCAACTCATGACAAGTCGAAATCGTATTTATGAATAATTACATTTCTTCAGAGGTTATAAAACGGCTCAGACCAAACTAGGCTATAACTTGACAACACGTGTAAAAAATACATGTATCCTTTGGTTTTAAATTTTATCGGTTCACTCCTTGCCTTTTTTCCGTTACTCTAATAGCGCGAGGTAGATGCTGCTTCGGCCCACTCAACAATGTGGTCAAAGGGAAAAATCAAGTATTACAATGTAGTTCAATTCCCTTCCTTCACCACAGGATTGTGGGATCAATCAAACCGCCCTACTCTAGGGCCAGGACATTCGGTGGATCAGACCACACCACTGGCATACTAGGGGGGCTAGTACTCCATTAATAAAGTTATTTTGTCAGTGGCTCTTCTGGAACTGCTATGGGGGGTAAAGGGTTAAACTTGAAGAATTGTTTGTTACACATTTGGGTCTAAATTTAAAACATGGAATTGAGTTTAGTCATAGACTACCTTCGTCCATTAAAGATAAACCACGTCCTATCATCGCTCGTTTTTATTCACGGCTTGAACGACAACAAGTATTCTCATCACTTGGTAAATTGAAAGGGAAAGATTTGGCTGTTACTATCTTTGATGATTTGACACCGTCTGTTTTGGTTATATACAAGCGTGAACGTGCTGATCTTAAGAGTGATGGTACCAAGCGAGTGATTTCTCGACAAGGGAAGATGTTTATTCAGGATGTTAATGTTCGAAGTCTTCAACTGGTGTCAAAGTAAAGGAGTAGTTGTTATATGTTTATTAATTAGTGATGTTTCTTTTTTCTCTCGCTCGTTCGTTTATTTCCCTTCTATTCATTTAATCAAGAACCTTTTTCTGTTCTACTTTGTTTCTGTTGACAGTCAGCATTGAATCAAACATGAGCTCATTTTCTAATTTTCGCTTCCCATCCTTTTCCCGTCCCTTTCTCCTTCCCTTCAAAAACTTGGATTCACTTAACGCTACTATGGTGTATAATCCTCATACTGTCGTCGTTCTTTGTTATGGCGATAGGTAAGATTAACACAAGGAGAGTAAAACAAAGAATTGCCTTTTTAAATTCAAGAAGTGTACGGAATAAAATGAGTGATTTGTGTGCCTATGTTTCAACTCCTCTCGTGCTGGGTCTGGTTGAGACCTGGCTAGATGGTGCGGTTCCGAATGAGCGTGTTAGTATTCCGGGTTATAGACTAGAGAGAAGAGACAGAGTTGGTAAAACTGGTGGTGGGTGTTTGGTGTATATTCGAAGTGACATACACTACATAAGGATTGTAGAATTTGAACATGTAGATTATGAAATCCTTTGCATTCGAATGATATTTTCAAATAATCTTCGTTTTCTTGTATTTACTGCATATAAACCACGAGAAGTATCTAATTGGAATCAATTTATTGCACATATGAAAAATCTTCATTCTCTTATTTCTAAATCCAAATTCAAATTGGATAAATTGATTTTTAGTGGAGACTTTAATGCACAAAACAGTTTATGGTCTCAGACGAGTGTCCAGTCTACCTCTGAAGGACTAGAGTTAGATTTAGTCATTAACTCTACCGGCCTCTCACAGCTTGTCAGTGGTGTTACACGCCTCAACTCAAATACTTGTTTGGATTTAATTTTAACTAATGACCCAATTTTTATTTCTAATCTTTTAATATTACCTTCTATTGTAAATAGTGATTACAGTCCAATTGAATTCCCTCTTAAATACTTTTATATCCTTTAAACCCAAAATAGAAAGAACTATTTTCAACTATAGATTAGCTGATTGGCAAATGATAAATAATAATATTTCTCTTATTCCTTTTAATCGAATTTTAGATAACTATCTTAATTTAAATGAAAAAGTTTTGTCCTTTGAAGTAATAGTTTTAGATGAAATAAACCGCTCCATACCACATAAAAAAATTATACAAATGCCTCGTGATAAAATCTGGTTTTCTGAAGAACTTCGTATTTTATATAAAGAAAAACATCGAACATATAGAAAATTCAAGAGAGTATCTAATGACAATAACAGAGAGAGGCATGAGGCAGCTGCTAGTGAATTTAAAAAGGCATGTTTTAGAGCAAAAGAGGAACATTATGAACGAATTAATTCTAAAATTCAAAATTCTTCGAAAAATTGGCGGAGTCTTGTGAAATACACTTTGGGGAAGGAAAGAACTGCTGATATACCAGCATTAGAAGATGTCAAAAAGACAGTTGTTACTGACCCATTAGAGAAAGCAGAAGTTTTAAATGTACATTTTTCTTCTATTTCAACTTGGGTTGGTCCCCAATTAGACTGTTCTCCATTTCCTCTTCCCCAAAGTTCCTCTTTTTTAACTTCTTTTAATGTAACATCTGATTCTGTAAAACATGTTTTATCTAGGCTGAATATGAATAAAGCAGTCTCTACACCAGTTTCAAATCGGATGTTAAGACAACTAGAACCATCCTTAAAGAGTATTATTACTCAATTAATTTCCGAGTCCTTTGACACTTATGTCTTTCCCACTTCTTGGAAAGTCGGTTCGGTACATCCACTCTTTAAGAGTGGTGATCCACTGCAAGCAGCCAACTACCGACCTATAACTCTTCTCCCTGCTTTATCCAAAGTAACTGAGAAAATTGTGCATAAACAACTTTATTCGTATTTAATTAAAAATAAATTACTCTCTCCTTTTCAATCCGGTTTTAAAGCGAGAGATGGAACAACGACTCTACTTTTAGATGTTATAAGTAGAATAAATGCCGGTATGGAGGATGATAAATTTGTCAGAGCAGTCTTATTAGACTTTCAAAAGGCTTTTGATAACGTCTCTCATGCTGGTATTCTTTATAAACTGAGTAAAAAGGGAATTAGAGGAAAAGCCCTCAGGTGGTTTGGAAGTTATCTTTCAGACAGATTCATTACAACTAGGTTTGAAGGAGTTACTTCAAGTTTAAGAGGAATATCAAAAGGACTGCCCCAAGGATCTGTTCTTGGACCACTGCTATTTTTGATCTATATTGATGATCTTCCTCTTGAACTTGAAGGCAATGTTCGAATGTTTGCTGATGACACCATCTTGTTTAACCACCATTATGATCCTCGTGAGGCTACTCGGATCACTAATAGAGATTTAGATAGAGCTCATGAGTGGTCAAAAAAGTGCGAAGCAATAACCTTCTCATCTTCTCGAACACGAAAACTGCTCTTTCTCTTCCTCCTCTGATACTGGCTAAAATTTTACCCGAAAATGAAAAGGTTAAATATTTAGGCTTAATTCTTTCCTATACTTTAAATTGGACTGTACATATTGATTTTATCTGTTCTCGTGCTGAATCGATAATTGGGTTAATGAAGATGCATAAATATATTCTTAACAGACAAGTTTTAGATATTATTTATAAATCATTTATTTTATCTATTTTTAACTATGGATCGATTTTATTCTCTTTAACTACTCAGAACAACATGGCCAAGCTGGAGAGAGTACAATATCATGCTACTCTGGTTACTTTAGGGGCTATGAGGGGATCTTCGACTGAGAAAGTTTAGAAATTTTAGGTTGGATTAAGTTGGAGAATCATTTTCGTCTTTCTAGACTGAATATGTACAGTAAAATAGTTAGAAAAATTGCACCTGAATATTTACATTCTTATATTCAGCAACATATATCTAACCAAAGATATTCACTTAGGAGTAACGATTTGAGGCAACTAGAATCAGTCGAAGACAGACGAAAATCATTCTTCTATATTGTTACATAAGAATGGAATCTATTTCCTATAAATATCATCTATGTACACCTAAAGTTATGTGTGAAAGAATGAAAACGGAAATTTTAAATAATCGAACACTGTCACCTTTTCCAAAAGATTTGATGTTTTTGAGTAGGAAGGCGGAAATACAGTACATGAGATTAAAAACCGGAAATGTTGCTCTAAATGCTAATCTATTTATGAGAAGATGTGTTGATTCTCCCTTGTGTGGTGTATGTCATGTAGAAGAGACGCTAACTCACTATTTTTTTGATTGTATGAGATATACTGTGGCCCGGACTAACATGCTGTTAGAACTGCACTTTTTGGCTACGGTTAAGACTAAGACCTTGTTGTTGGAGGACAAGGAGAGGGAGATGGACGTACAGAAAGCGATTTTTAATGCCGTCGATAAATACATTCTGTTGACGTGGCGATTCATGAGTTAAACTCTCGCTGATATTTTTGATGAAATGAATTGGTTAACAGTTATTGCCTTAAGTGAATTCAATCCCCTTTTAACCCCATTCCCCCACCCTTCTCCTACTAACCCCTTTTCTTTTCTTTTTTAGCATTTTCGATTATGACCTCATGTTTATTCTTGTTATGACTTTCTTCTCTCTTTTAATTTTTTCTTCTTTTGTTATCTCGTGTTCGTTAATCTCTACTGCGTCTACATGGCTTCGGCCGCTGATGCTGATTCTTTTTTTTCCATTTTAATTTTCAAATAAAAGGTTTAAACTAAACGCCTGTGCACCATGGACGTTCGAATGGACCATGTCAAATAAGCGTGAATCATTTTGCAAACCTATGTAGTTTTTTCTTTGAAGTAATGGAACCAAGTTTCACACGTTATTCGATGCGCCTTAACTCAAGCTTTAAAAGTACGTATCGCTTGTTTCGAAATTTGTTTTCCTTGCTAAGACAAGTCATTTTTTCTAAATCAGAGCCGAAAAAGTCGTAATTCTGCTCGTAATTCTCAATCAGAAATTAACTTCTATGTAATAAAAATAACATATTCGAAATCAGGATAAAAAAACGAGTGATATGTATCTCTATCCTATGCGAGTACTTTAATTTTTTTCAATCATTAAGGTTTTCACCAAAAAGTGAAAATGAACTCAAAATTTCGAAATACACATCTCTAGATTCGTTTTTTTATCCTGATTCCGAATATGTTATTTTTATTACATAGAAGTTAATTTCTGATTGGAATTACGACTTTTTCCCAGTCGTCAAACAAAATGAAAATTCAAAATGTTTCACTCAGAAAGGAGTTTTCCATTTCCAAGATCCTTTGACTTTTTTCTCTATTTCGAAATGAAAAACTATTTCTGAAAAATTAAAAGGTATGTATTCTGAATCAGCGTAAAATTCTATCGAATGATGTATAGCAAAGCCGAAAACAAAATTTTACTGGAAGTTCGAATTACCGGCACCTTATAACAAATGTGAAAAATACCAGACTATCCGTCCCAGAATACAAGGCGATCCGTTACTTTTGGAATAATTCAATCACACTGATAGATAGCGATTTGCGATTTTCATCATCGTTTTACTAAGACCCCAAGACATGCTTTTGTAAACAGAAACTTGTTTCAAAATTTTCTGGAAGTTCGGTTTTCTACAGGATCTTTGTTATTGTGAGCATCTTAATGCAAGCTGATCTGGCTGAAACTTTTATCATAGATACTTAAGACCATAACTCCGAGGTACTTTTGGATATTTCGAAAATATGTCTCGAAGCCGAGTGATAGAGCTCTGAAACTCAAAAGCCAAGGCCTTCAAAAGCTTTTTAAGTAGTTTTGCTATAACTTTTAAACGAAGCAATATTCTTCAAAAACAAAAAATATAGCGTCAAGTTTTCAGCCATGCGATCTATGATTAAAGTTGTTCTGGGTCGGATGCACCGTGGAGGGCTACAGAGCTCTTGTCTGGATCCAGTACTGTACAATACAAGCTATATAGCACAAAAAACAATAAATCAGATGATGGAATATTCAATTCTAT